GAGTTGGCCAACCTTTGCAGCTATAACAGCTTCTCTTCTGGGAAGGCTGTCCACAAGGTTTACGTGTGTATGGGAATGTTTGACCATTCTTCCAGAAGTGCATTTGTGAGGTCAGGCACTGATGTCGGATGAGAACGCCTGGCGCGCAGTCTCTGCTCTAATTTATCCCAAAGGTGCTCTATTGGGTTGAGGTCAGGACTCTGTGCAGGCCAGTAAAGTTCCTCCACCCCAAACTCGCTCATCCATGTCTTTATGGATCTTGCTTTGTGCACTGGTGCGCAGTCATGTTGAAATAGGAAGGGGCCATCCCCAAACTGTTCCCACAAAGTTGGGAGCATGAAATTGTCCAAAATGTCTTGTCAAAATGCTGATGCCTTAGGAGTTCCCTTCACTGTAACTAAGGGACCAAGCCCAACCCCTGAAAAACAACCCCACACCATAATCCCCCCTCCACCAAACTTTACACTTGGCACAATGCAGTCAGGCAAGTATGTGCATTAGTTTGCCAGACAAAGAAGCATGATTTGTTACTCCAAAGAACACATCTGCACTGCTGTAGAGTCCAGTGGCCAGCGTGCTTTACACCACTGCATCCAACACTTTGCATTGCACTTGGTGATGTAAGACTTAGATGCAGCTGCTCAGCCATAGAAACCCATTCCATGAAGCTCTCTATGCACTGTTGTTGAGCTAATCTGAAGGCCACATGAAGTTTGGAGGTCTTTAGCTATTGACTGGGCAGACAGTTGGCGACTTCTGGCACTGTGCACTTCAGCATGTGCTGACCCCGCTCTGTCATTATACGTGGTCTACAACTTTGTGGCTGAGTTGCTGTTGTTCCCAGTTGTTTCCACTTTGCTATAATACCACTAACAATTGACCATGGAATATTTTGTAGCAAGAAAATTTCATGGATGGACTTACAGCACAGGCACCTGAGAGTGACCCATTCTTTCACAAATGTTTGTAGAAACAGTCTGCATGCCTAGGTGAATCCTATGATTTGGAGGGGTGTCCCAATACTTTTGACACTATAGTGTATATAGAAGGAAAGATCAGCAATGGCAGCCTTTGGGTTTATTTCTTGACTGGTGGTCTTTAAGCAAAATAAACAAAATTCTTTCAAATAACAATTTTGTGAAAGTTAGTGAAGTTGTCATTTAATTAATCTTTCACTTCCATGAAAGCAGGGTACCCCCCCAGGTCAATACGTCCTTGCTTTCCTTACTGCCATTCAGAAATGGTCCTATCAACATGGTCCCACTCATTTCCTCTTCATATTGTGCATGTGCCCCACAGACCCATTCATTGCTGTGGGTAAGTCATAAACTAAGGGATTACTGGAGGCCATCATGAGCTCAATTAATAGGGCCACAGTATGAAAAGGATCCAGCCATGACCATATCGGAGAAAATAGGAATAGAGTGGAAGGTAAGTATATAGGCAGGTGGGGTTTGCTTTCTCCACTGCAGGTGGCACTCATCCAAGTGGAACCTCAGCCTGGAAAGGAAGTCCAAGAGAAACAATGTTTCTCTATGGTTTCCTGGGTCAATGGAGCAGCGTTCTGGTTGGCTACGCTGAACCCATGTGACCCTTGGTGGTTATCTTGGGTCAGCAGGGTCTATTTAAGTCCCTGTCCCTGGGTTTTTGTGCACTTCTGGCCTGTGGCTAGTGTAAGGAGAGAGACCCTGCTTGTTAAAGAAATTACCTAGCGGTAGAGAAAGGTTCCCGGTGAGATGGGAAAGGTTAGGGACTCACTATCCTGAAAAGGAGCTCCCTCTTGAGACTGGACCAACCAGGCCACACTTCACCCTCTGAAACAGACACTGTCTGCACCTCTCCTCCTACACTTCTGACTACATTGAATTGTGATTTATTTCCTTAGCGGTGTTCTTCTGCAAGGGTGTCTGTAACTTTGGCATTTTGTTTAATACAAGTTTCAAGTTTTGCTGCAATCGGACTGTGTATGTATTTCCTGAACCACGCTGCACCTCCCCACTAGTGTTCTGGTAAAGTTGTCCTTTAAAGCATTAATATAGTTTCAAGTTTCACTTTAGGGCATAAAATACAGTGTTTAAATTAACTTACCATGAAGTCATGAAATAATTAAACTTATGTTACTCTTACGTTTCTACTTTGCTAATGTCGAATGTGAGGGTAACTACTAGATTATGGGGCTTCACAGGTCCATCCTAGTCATACAGAGGCACAGACACTGCTATCATTGTAAAACAGATTTCTAAACATAAACAACAAGTCAGTATATGTAAAAAGTTTTTATTATATTGATGGGCATGGAAAAGTATCAGGAGATTATCAAAAGAAGATATTTAAAATGAAGGTGGCATGAGGGAGATATTTTCATACACACCCCTGAATTCCTGTACAGTATTTCCATAGAAGAAAACTACTGCTGGTCATTTCAGTACCACTTTCAGCCTGATATGGTCACTAAGCAGTTCCTTAGCTCATCACCTGTGCAGTTGTAGGAGCTACTTACATGGCTGTGAAAAATACAAAACTGATAATGAAAAGCTGGCCATAGATACCAGAGTGCCTTCAGACATGCAGATGCAATCTGATTGTCCTCAGCCATCTGCACCAACCAGCCTTTCCCTAAACATGAACAAATGCACTTCACCCTCTAGAGAGTAATGCTGGAGACATCCTGCCGGCATCTCTAGTCAATGGGGTATTGGGGAAAAAACAAAATTAACTGGAGAAGGTTCTCTAACTTGTTCTATTGCTATTTCCCCAGAGGAGCCATGGTTGCTGTTTTTTACAGGTCTCCTAATAAAAAGTCATTAGAGCATTTCAAAGTGTTTGTCCAGCCAAAGTCTTTTTTTTGGACAGAGCAGGGAGGGATTTACCTGCCGCCAGGATAATCCCCCCACTACCAGCATGCCTCAGTTTAGTAGCAAAGCAATACCAAGAGCATAATTGAAAGCATAGAGGGGCAGAATCTGTGTCCCTCAATGAACTTCATGAGTACTGTTGAGGGCCACAGGAAGTCTTTCATCTTCAACTAAACTGAAAGAAGTCTAATTGTGTGTGTGTGTGGGAGGGGGCAACATAGCAAAAAAAACAAGGTTAGTCCTTGTAACAGCAGAGCTGAAGAAAAGATGCCCATCCTCCTAAGACACTAGCAAAAAAAAAAAAAAAACGACCATGTTTGGAGTTGGATGGCTTTTCCTGGTCTTGGGTTTTTTGTTTTCCATTGTCCAATCCTCCTGCCAGCGACAGTATAACCTGAAAGTGAAAGACTTCCTGTGTATCTCAATGGATGAGAAATAAAATGCCTTTTTTATTTAGAGTCGTGAAACACTGGAACCCCTGTCAGTGTCCCCACTGCAGCCGATTTTCCCTCACATGGGAAGTGAGGGGAAATCTCTCTAACAAAGCCTGGCTAGCAGTAATAAACTGACAGGGGTTCTAATCCTTCCCCCAGTTTTGGCTGAACATACCCTTTAATTTTTCTTAGGTATGTAGTAGTTTATAGCCGTGTTTTTAGGAAGTAGATGTACATTTCTGTTTGTGGTGTCTTTCACTGAGGCTGCAGCATATTCTCAGCTCCTCCTGGTGGTGCTACAGTGTGAACTAAAATCTGCAAGTCCAGCACCTTGAATTAAATAATACCAGGTCCAGGAGCCTAAGAGCCAGGGATGAACACCAAAGATGGTGGGGCTGCTGCAGCATTTCTATCGAAGGATGTAAATTTCACAAGATTATATTTACCTCCCTAACAACTGCTGTTACAGACACAATGGCATTCTCCATTAAAGCTGATGAAAAATATTTACCATTTTGTTTAGGGGATTATAAATAGGTCATATAATGACCTTATTCTTTGCTCCTTCAGGCTTCCTTGTCTTCGTGTGACCGGTCCCCCAAAGCCTCTTCTATTTGCTGTCCAACTGATCATCCTGGTCAACCCAGGACCAGCAGTCCTGCATTGTACCAGGGGATGCCAAGAGCCTGCCTACCCACATTTGAGAGTGTCAGACAATGGAGGAGAGTGCCGTCTGCTGGGGAAGTGAGGTATCGGGAAAGTATATCACCTTATTATCCTCTAGGATAATCCTCACGGTGGGAAGATTGACCGGTCATACAGCACATAGGAAGCCCGTGGAAGTGAGGATTAAGGTAAGTATGTGACCTTATTTATCATCCCCAAGGTAAGTAGTTAACACGCAGTTAACCCTTGTGGGGGTAGGGGAGGGGGTGGGGTACTCACTGCAAATATAAAAGTTTTTTGTCCCTAGAGTTCTGCTTTAAACTATAAATGTTTTTTAGAGAAAGATCTAAAGCAGCAAAGTTGAAAAAAACAGAGGTCTGCTTCTTCTTAAAATAACGCAGAAGATTCTACAATGTATACTGACTTCTGGATCAGCTGAGTCAGGAAGAAAAGTAAGAATAATAAAAGACCATAAACAGGTGGAGCAAGAGGAAGATTTTGTTGAAAGAATATCATCCTGTTTCATGCAGAGAAAAACAGCAGGTCCACAATAATGCCAGCTAACACAGCTGCTTAGACTTATCTTCCTTTTCACTCCATTCTCCCATGGAAAGGAAGTGACATACCTGTACTTCTGGGTATGGCAGAGCATGTAAATCCCTCCCTTCCTCCTCAGTTGAGGTCTCTGTTGATTAGTGGCTCAAGCATCCAGCATTGTCACATGGAGGTGAGGAAAGAACTTTCAGCCCTACATTTGCTCCAAGTCCTTCTCCCCATTTCCACTGACAGACCAACTGATGATGGAGCAAAGGGAAGGTAACTGTAAGCAGCTGCAGGATTCAGCGTTAAAGAAACTGTTGCTTTACCCTTCACAAGGAAAGTATAAGTCCACCTTAAATGCATTTGTCTGCCAGATTTGGACTAACACTATTCATTTTCATTATGGACTTTTTTTAACTGAACCTGCCATCTGTAACTAAAAGTCATGCCCCCTAAAGTGAGGGACCAGTATAAAAAGAAAAAAAAAAAAGAGAATGAAATGTTATTATACGAGGCTTTGTCTGCCCACATCCATGCCGTATCCTGAAGGTTTCGAACATCCCCTTCCAAAATCAATGAAAATTCCTTCAGAGTCCGATTCTATGGATTCTAAGATCTGATCGACTATTGTCTCTGGGCTGGAGGAAGGTGCAGGAAGCAGCGTGGAGTCCCTGGACAGCTCCTCTATTGAGTTCTGGCTTTGTAATAGTACTTGTTGAGGTTCACTGTTATTGTGGACAGGTGGAAATTGTCCGTTGCCTACAGAGGGTCTCTCCAGTTCGGCTGGAGGTTGTGTTTTAGTGGTGGTCATGGAGAGTTTGGAGCTGGAGTCTAGGATGGTAGTCAGGTTGGAGTAGCCCTGGATCTCCAGGAAGGTGGTCATCTCCGACACGGAGTGCCTGCGAATTCCCGTCCCATTGGCCGCCAGATTTTCCATTTCATACTCAGCAACCGGTGTCAGCAGCGGATTGTTGTAGCTCTTGGATCGCACCACTGGGTTCTTAGTTACAACATCACCGGACTTTGGGCAACGGCGGAATATGCGTTTTTCTGTTGGGAACAGGAAAAAAACACTGTTTAAAGGTGTCTCATATCACTATTAAAGTGCTTGTAAACCCTCACCTTCTAAAACAACCCATTGAGTTTAAAATAAAATGAAAGGCATCACATTTGTGTATAGATATAAAAAAACGGGGAAAAAGGTATTTATACTGTTTTTTTTATAAGTGCTCACATTCCCTCTGTTCTCAGCTACAAAGGTATTGGGGGAGGAGAAACAGCAGAACACTGAACTTCCAAGCTGTGCATGGTAGGGGGGGGGGGTTGTCAGTGGAGGAGAGCACACTGAATTCCCAGCATAGCTAGAGAACTGACCACACTGTGCTCTCTTGCCTAGTGTGGTCAGTTTTTAATAGGAAAGAAGAGGGACTGGCAAGAACACCAGGTTTTTCACACAAAGGAAGCAATACAAAAAGAACAGGATACTTTTTCATACTTGTACATGGTGCAGCAGGCACATATCAGGAATAGGAAATGTTGGGTTTACCTATTCTTTAAAGCTCAGATAACTAAATTACAGTCAAAGTTTTTTCTTAGTTTTGAATAGAATGTGAAAAGGTTAGAACCTCTCTGGTTTTATTTCTTCCTTGGTCCCTGCCAGGAATATTCCCTTTCTCTCTTTATCCCGATGACTGCTGACACCAGTATAGAAAGCGATGAGAAATTCACAATGTTTGGCTCTAGATATACTTTATCTAGAACCAAAATAAAATGGGCAAAATCAGAAAGTCTTGTTCATGAATTCCATTTAAATATCATTGACATTTGGAAGAGATTACAATGACTGAATAATTTTCAGGCAACATCATTACAAAAACTCAAAGCAAAGAATGCCTTGAACTGTGGATATGAACTGGTGGTATTGGTCAACTTTCCACAGATGCCACTAGATGGTGCCAAATCCATTCTAAGCCCTGGATTTGGTGTAACACTGCATAGTAATGACAGTTAAAGGGAAACTATGAAATAAAAATAAAAAGTGACGTTCGGTGGATATAAAAAGTCTACACTCCCCTGTAAAAATGTCAGTTTTCTGTGATGTAAAAAAATGAGACAAAGATAAATCATTTCAGAACGTTTTCCTCCTTTAATGTGACCTATAAACTGTACAACTCAATTGAAAAACAAACAAATCTTTTTAGGGGGAGAAGTAAACATAAAAAATTTAAATAATGTGGTTGCATAAGTGTGCACACCCTCTTATAACTGGGGATGTAGCTGTGAGAATTAAGCAATCACATTTAAAAGCATGTTAAATAGGAGTCAGTACATACCTGCCATAATTTAAAGTGCCACAAATAAAGTTCAGCTGTTCTAGTGGGTCTTTCCTGACATTTTCTGAGTCGCATCCTACAGCAAAAGCCATGATCCACAGAGAGCTTCCAAAGCATCAGTGGGATCTCATTGTTAAAATGTATCAGTCAGGAGAAGGGTACAAAATAATTTCCAAGGCATTAGATATACCATGGAACACAGGGAAGACAGTCATCATCAAGTGAAGAAAATATGGCGCAACAGTGACATTACCAAGAACTGGACGTCCCTCCAAAATTGATGAAAAGATGAGAAGGAAACTGGTCTGGGAGGCTGCCAAGAGTCCTACAGCAACATTAAAGGAGCTGCAGGAATATCTGGCAAGTACTGGCTGTGTGGTACGTATGACAGCAATCTCCTCCTGTTCTTCATATGTCTGGGCTATGGGGTAGAGTGCCAAGACGGAAGCCTTTTCTTACGAAGAAAAACATCCAAGTCCGGCTAGATTTTGCAAAAACACATCTGAAGTCTCAAAAAAGCATGTGGGAAAATGTGTTATGGTCTGATGAAACCAAGGTTGAACTTTTTGGCCATAATCCCAAAACACTGCACATCACCAAAAGAACACCATACCCACAGTGAAGTAAAGTTTTTCTTCAGCTGGAACTGGGGCCTTAGTCAAGGTAGAGGGAATTATGAACCATTCCAAATACCAGTCAATATTGGCACAAAACCTTCTGGCTTCTGCTAGAAAGCTGAACATGAAGAGGAACTTCATCTTTCAGCACAGCAACGACCCAAAGCATACATCCAAATCAACAAAGGGATGACTACAGAGGACTAGAAGTCCATCCTGCTTATGTTTCCCTGCAGACAGGCTAGGAAAGAGTTTGGTCATGTAACAGTTGTATATCAATTAGGAAAAAGGTACTTGCATGTTTTTTTTCTTTTTAACCACTTAACATGGAACTTTGGTCAGAAAATTAAGTCCTGATAGATCACTTCAGGCTTAACCCTGAACGCCCACTCGGTTTGCAACAAACTCACCGCCATCTACGACCTTTTTGTTTCCCGCTCCCTCAACCTCCTGGCGATCACTGAAACCTGGATCCAAACCACCAACTCTACCTCCCCTGCGGCACTCTCCTATGGAGGTCTCACCTGGACCCACTCACCCAGACCCAGCGGTTGAAAAGGTGGTGGGGTTGGTATGCTCCTGTCACCGCAGAGCACCTTCCAAGTCCTCCCAAACCCTCCCTCTCTATCCTTCTCCTCCTTTGAGGCCCACTGCAGCCGACTATTCTCTCCAATCACCCTGAGGATTACAGTAATCTATCGGCCTCCTGGACCCATATCCCGCTTCCTCGACGACTTCTCCGCCGGGTTACCCTTCTTTCTCTCCTCCGAGCTGACCACCATCTTCCTTGGAGAATTCAACATCCCTATCAACATCAATAACCTGGCCATATTCCAATTTCTCCACCTAACCTCTTCTTTTGCACTCGCACAGTGCATACAGTCTACTACCCACTCCGACGGGAACACCCTGGACCTTGTTTTCTCTCATCTCTGCACCCCCCACAACCTCACAAACACCCCTTTTCCCCTCTCTGACCACAACCTCATCACCTTCTCCATCTGCTCATCCTCGTACACCTACCCCTCCAAATGTCAAACCATCACCAGCCGAAACCTCCACAAGCTGAACCCTGCCCCCTTCCATGCTTCAGCTGACCAACTGTACGACAGCATCCTTCCCCTGTCCTGCCCTGACCTGGCCACTACTGTTTATAACAACTCGCTGTCAGCCGCTCTTGACTCCTTAGCACCCCTAACCACACGAAACATTAGACTCCGACCGCTTCAACCCTGGCAGAATGACCATACCAAAAATCTCAAGCGACGCAGTCGTGCGCTAGAGCGACTATGGCGCAAAACCAGATCCCAACAAGCGTTCACCACCCGATATAAATCTGCCTTCCTCACCTACACTTCCTCCCTCCACGCTGCCAAGCAAGCCTACTTTGTAACCCTCATCAATACCCTCTCCTCCAGTCCTCGCCGGCTCTTCTCCACTTTCAACTCTCTGCTCTCTCCGCCCCCACCTCCACCCAGTACTTCACCGCCCACGAGATTGCTAACCACTTCCAAAGCAAGATCGACACAATTCGCAGGGACATCACCACTGCTCAGACTTCTGCCCCACCTAGCATCCCTCACACGAAAACCCCCTCAACACTCCACTCCTTTGACCCTGCTACCACTGAAGAGGTCACTAAGGTCTTCTCTGAAGCTTGCCTTACCACATGCCCCCTTGACCCTGTCCCCACACAACTCCTACGATCACCCTCCTCCTCCATCCTACGCTCCCTCACTCACATCTTTAATCTTTCCCTCTCTACTGGTGCATTCCCCTCCCCTCTGAAGCACGCGCACATCACTCCCATGCTTAAAAAACCCTCCCTGGATCCCACCGACCTAAACAACCTTAGACCCATCTCCCTGCTGCCATTTATATCCAAACTCCTTGAGCGCTTAGCCTATAATCGCCTAAGCTCCCACCTCACCGACAACAACCTCCTGGAACCCCTACAATCTGGCTTCCGTCCCCTACACTCCACCGAAACCGCCCTACTCAAACTCACCAACGACCTGCTAACCACCAAAGTCAATGGCCACTACTCAGTGCTACTACTCCTCGACCTCTCTGCAGCTTTCGACACGGTCGACCACCCCCCCTCTAGAGTCTAGTAAACATCCCGGGTATGATTAAACTTGAAACACGAAATCATAAATTATAATTTAATAAATACTCATAAAAAATAATAATATAATAATAATACATTTAATTAAATAATATAATCAAACCAAAAACACTGAAATTTGAAATATAGCGCCAAGTTCGCACATCGCTGAGCTCAGTCGCAGAATCGTTTTCAGTGTCTGATGACGAATGTCCCCACAAATCATTATCACTCAATTCTACAAGTGGTTCTAATTTACCATCGCTGTTCTCTAGGTGGTCTAAAATGGATTATGACCTAAAGGGACGCTTTTTGGTCGCCATGGACTTTTCTAAGTTTCCAGGCAGAAAGAACAGTAAAAATGCAGGCAGGGCACAGGACAAAGCACTCGGGACAAAATGTATGTGAAATGCTTTGAAACAGCAATGTTTTGCTATGAAATAATCGTTTTTAAAAAAATGTAATTTTTTAAGATTTTCAAATTTGCTGCCGGTTCTGCGCCCGTACGTCCCGACGTCACAGGGACCGGAACACGGAAGCCGGATGCCGGCATTGGCCGGAGGAGATGGCCGGGGACACTGCAGGGAACGCATCGCGGGAGCGAAGGACAAGGTAAGAGCTGCAGGGAATCCCTGTGCAGCGCTGCATGGTAAGCCCGAGTGTAGCTCGGTGTTACTGCTTTTGGTACTGAAACTTTACCTCGAGCTACACTCGGGAATACCGCCAGGGAGGTTAAAGCAGAATTAAACGCTCCTATCCTTTACAGCCAAGAAAGCTGCTTCTGTGTGATCTGAAACTGCCATGGTGATCAGCTATGACACCAGCCATTTGATGGTTTGGCCGTTTGGTTGAGGACCCAAGAAAATGTGACAGTTAGCAATCCCGGCAATCCAGGAATGTAACAGTTTTTTTAAACTGTTAAAGCGATGGGTTCAGTTCTGCTTTTTGATTTACTGCTGTTCAGAAGCTCTAGACGTCAACAAAATGGCAGCCTCCAGCCAGAAGAAACAGGAGCACTGCTGGAGTGTTTGTTTGTTTTATACTATTACTAGTATAAAACAAACAAATAAATAAAAATTCCAGTATATATACCATAGTTTGTAGACGCTATACCTTTTGTGCCAACCAATCAATATACGCGTGTTTGGATTTTTTTTTACCAAAAATATGTAGCAGAATACATATTGGCCTAAATTTATGAAGAAATTAGATTTTTAAATATTTTTTATTGGATATGTTTTATAGCAGAAAGTAAAAAATATTGGTTTTTTTTTTTTCAAAACTTTCCATTTTTTTTTTGTTAAATAAAACACACAGTGGTGATCAAATACCACCAAAAGAGAGCTCTATTTGTGGGAACATTTTACATAAATTTAATCTACGTACCGTGCAATTATCAGTTAAAGTAACACAGTGCCGTATCGCAAAAAATGGCCTGTCATGAAAGGGGGTATATCTTCTAGAAGGCAAGCGGTTAAACTAATGACAGTGCCATCATCCACATACAGAAAGAGAACGTATAATGTAAATTAAACAGTGTGTGTTTAGTAACACTTTAGTGCCCGGTTACACCCGTGCGATTTGCAAATTGAAATCGCACCTGAAATTGCATCTAATGAATGTGAATGCCAGTGTCTTAACATGTGTGATTTGCTGCAGTGCGATTTCTAAAGTAGTTCTTGCTTTACATTTTCTGCAGTTTTGTTGCTATTTCACATACATAGAATATAATGGAAATCGCACTGCAAATTCAAGAAACCGTTGAAAATCTTCACAAGTAGCAATAAAGTCTTCAGAAATCGCACCTGAAATCTCGCTAAAATTGCACACAAATCATGCAATTTTAAATCGCAGCATTGTGACTGGTGACTTAGCCCCCAATCACATCGGGTGCGATTTGGCATGTGACTTGCATGCCAGGCGACTTGCAAATTGTATGTCAAGTCGCACCCTATTGTCCACAATTACAGTGGCCAAATCGGTACGGTTCCGACTTGGTTGGAGCCGCACCAATTTCTAAAGTAGTACATGCACTAGTTTTCGTGCGATTTGCATAGACATCTGTGTCAGATGTCTTGAAAATCACACTTGAAATCGGCATGTCCCCCGACTTTGAAATCGTGCGACTTCACTGTAAGGTAAAGGTAGTGTGATGGATAGGCAAACATCTTGTGGCAAGGTCAACTGTCAAGATGGGCTCCTGAGATGGAAAGCTAATATACATCCCATGAATACAGCAGCCATTGTCAAGTTTGTAAACTCTGCTGGAAGCATCATAGAAATGGAGTTGTGGAATAACATGCACCTGTTTAAGAAAAGAAATTACCTGAAAGTAAAGCCACATGCAGAATGGAGAGCAATGCCCCTGAAATTAATTTTTTCCCAACAGATCGAAAAAAAAAGCATACAGAAATTTGATGCAACTCAAAGTGAGTTAAAGCCTAACTCTGGTCACATTAAAAATAATATAAACCCCCCATTCCCACTGATGAAGAATCTGTTGCCTCATTATCTCTGATGGATGGGATAACACACACCTTACCTGTGACATCTAGAGTTCCTCTGCTCTCTGAGTGCTGGATTGTGGGTGGCACTCCTACCAGTGTTCGATTCCCATGGTAATGATGTGGCTACTGGTCATTTGCAGGAATGATAACATCAACAAGAGGAGTGACAGCAAGGCCGGTCAGAAACATGAAGGTTGGCTTCAGCAGACCGGTCCTTGCAACCTTCCCTCCCCCTCAACAGTGGTGGTGGGGAAGACAATTGTCACCCTTTTTTATGTGGCTAGAGTTAGGCCTTCAGGCTTTAGGCCAAAGCACATATTTTGCAGGTCTAAGGTAATTTCTACAGTTAGTAAGCTTTTATATGATAAGACCATACCTAGAATGCAGGAAGAGTGAGTAAAAGGAGCGTCGCTCGAGTACAGTCCATATGTTCCAAGGTATGGAGAGACCACCTTCTGAATAAGTGACTCCAAGTTCAGATATTCCTCTGACACACCCTTCGATTCATGGACACCCTAGAAGAGAGATTGCATATAAGAGGGGTTAGAGTGTTGCATACTTCCACATTTTTACTTAGCATGGCTGAGAAAATTCAAACCCTTTCATGGACCTGAAACCAGGCAACTAGCATTTCAGATGGCAGCCTCTGTAATTCCTTCAGTACAGGTCTCCATTTAGGGTCCCATTTAGCAGATCCGCTTGCTCAGTGGGGGATCTCTCCACTGATCCCCATTGAGCAAGCGGATGACAGCTCTGTGCAGGGGCAGACTGACAACTCATGGGGCCCTCGGGCAACAGGGGATCATGGGGCCCCTGTGTCCTTGCCCAAACTCAAAAAAGCCTATGAAAAAGGTACCAGGGGCATCTCATGGGGCCCCCTACTGACCCAGGGCCCTCGGGCAATGCCCGAGTTTCCAAATGGTCAGTAGGCCCCTGGCTCTGTGTCCTCTCTGCTGCTGCAGAGCAGATACAGCGCTGCTTGCTCTCCTCAATGGGCGATCGGCGGAAAACAGACCGCCTGTCGGTTTTCATCCAACCCGATCTGACAGATGGAAGGGGAATTGGATCCCTATCCTTCCGTTTTTGGCGGAACGACTCGGTTCGTTTACACCCGCTGCTCCATAGATGAGAATGGATTCTCCAATCGGGTCTGCCTGAAAAACGGGCAGGTGGACCTGATCAGAATGTCCATGTGAAAGCAATTACAGCAAAATTCACAAAGCTCTAACACAAGGATAAGCATCTTTTTTCAGCTGTGTGAATCTAAGGAGGAGGTTTACTAAAACTGGTGCACATAGAATCTGGTGCAGCTGTACATAGTAACCGATTAGATTCTAACTTCAGCTTGTTCAATTAAGCTTTGACAATAAAACCTGGAAGCTGATTGGTCACTTTGCACAGCTGCACCAGATTCTGTGAGCTCCAGCTATAGTACATTTTTCTCTAATTGTTTAAATCTCATAAAATGTAGCTGAAACCAACTGTCACTTCTTCAAATTTAAAATGTATGTAAACCATAACAGTGGACTTCTCTTATCTGCAACCTTTTGCATGTTTAATATACCATTGAGTGCATTACGTTACAGTATATCTGTTGAATATAAAGCTCAAGGGGGGGTGGGGGTGATGTTCTGTAGCCCTAAATTCCTCCTTCCCTAGGGTGACAATGCTGCTTTACCATAGATACAGTATAGAGAGTGAGCGTTGTCACTCTACGACAGGAGCTGTGTCACTGGCAAGATCATCAGGTGAAAATAAAGGAAAAGAAGACAAAAAATAAATGAACTTGTAAGCTACAATTTGTTACATTCTTGTTGTGGGGTTTAGATCTAGACCCCTAAACATAGAATTTAGGGGTCAGGAATAAATACTGTACCAAGTTCTGGGATCAGGAGTGGGTAACGCACAGGGTGCAGGGGTCAGGACTAAAGTAGTAGTAAAGTTTCAAAGCAAACAGACTAAAAATTCCCCCCCCCCAATGCCAAAATGTGCTAGAATGCACCGCATGCTAGCACATTAAGAGAGACTCACCTTAGACCTCCAGCAGCGCACTGTCATGGCTGACAGGGCTTCTACCATCACCCGGTCTTCCTTCCGGGTTCTTGGGCTCCAGCCATTTGAATAGATGAGCCATGATGATGTCACTCCAGCACATGCATACAGCACATGTGCTGGTGACATCATTGGCTGCAGTAGTGATGTAGTAAATATCTCTTGTAGTGGATATTCCTTGTACCTGCAGGTAAGCTTTATTATATTATTATAGGTGAACCTGTAGGCACAAGTGACCAAGCAGTGTTTACTACCACTTTAAATAACAGGTGTCAGGATTAGATAACACACAGAGTTCAGGGGGCAGCATTAAATAACGCACAGAGTTTAGGGGTCAAAATTAAGTAATGCACAGGGTGCAGAGGTCAGGATTAAATAACGCAAAACGCTCAGGTGTCAGGATTAAGTAACGCACTGAGTTTAGGGGCCAGAATTAAGTAATACATGAGGTGCAGGGGTCAGGATTAAGTAGCGCAAAAAGCTCAAGGTTCAGGATTAAGTAATGCAGAGTTTAGGGGCCAGAATTATGTAATGCAAGGGGTACAGGGGTCAGGATTAAATAACACAAACAGCTCAGGAGTCAGGATTAAGTAACGCACAAAGCTCAGGGGCAGGATTAAGTAACGCACAAAGCTCAGGGGTCAGGAATAAGTAACGCACAAAGCTCAGGGGTCAGGATTAAGTAACGCACAAAGCTCAGGGGTCAGGATTAAGTAACGCACAAAGCTCAGGGGTCAGGATTAAGTAACGCACAAAGCTCAGGGGTCAGGATTAAGTAACGCACAAAGCTCAGGGGCAGGATTAAGTAACGCACAAAGCTCAGGGGTCAGGATTAAGTAACGCACAAAGCTCAGGGGTCAGGATTAAGTAACGCACAAAGCTCAGGGGTCAGGATTAAGTAACGCACAAAGCTCAGGGGTCAGGATTAAGTAACGCACAAAGTTCAGGGGTCAGGATTAAGTAACGCACAAAGCTCAAGGGTCAGGATTAAGTAACGCACAAAGCTAAGGGGTCAGGATTAAGTAATGCACAAAGCTCAGGGGTCAGGATTAAGTAACACACAAAGTTCAGGGGTCAGAATTAAGTAATGCACAAAGCTCAACGGTCAGGACTAAGTAACGCACAAAGCTCAGGGGTCAGGATTAAGTAACGCACAAAGCTCAGGGGTCAGGATTAAGTAACGCACAAAGCTCAGGGGTCAGGATTAAGTAACACACAAAGTTCTGGGGTCAGAATTAAGTAATGCACAAAGCTCAACGGTCAGGACTAAGTAACGCACAAAGCTCAGGGGTCAGGATTAAGTAACGCACAAAGCTCAGGGGTCAGGATTAAGTAACACACAAAGTTCAGTTTCCCACAGTCTGATTGGTGTATTGAACCTGGGGACCTCAAGGTAATATAAAGCTTGCAGTGCAGAGGATCCAACCGACACTGCAAGAGCATAAAATGGTATCACTGGATGTGTCTGCACATGTGTGGCTGCATGATTCGCTGCTCACACACAGGGTGCTATAGACATTTTTTAGTTGCTGGTTTAGCATTTTGATGGGTTGGAGACTGCTCGCTACAAACTTTACACTACTAGGCAGCTCCCGGGGACAAGTCTGGGGATGCCCATTTCCAAGGAATAGACCCCCACTACAGGGACTGTCCCCATGAAATTGGGACAAATGGCAACCTTAATATAGGGAGGACTGCATTCGAATATGGTCTGTATAGGAACGCCCAATACTCCAGACTGAGATCCACTTATCAGGATATTTCAGATTTGCATAACTCCTCCCAAAAGTCAACCCTCTGCTTGTATCATGACTGAGGAGTACTGAGTCAGGATGCTGTTATCTTTTCAGGAAGCTATGTACAGCACCCTGCCTACCCCTCCCACCAGCCATGATCTGTCTTCATTACATAGAGAAGCACAGAGACCCAGTAATGACATTGCTGGCACTGAAATAAGGTGTGTAATGAAAGCAAAAAAGTTTTATTTTAAAATGTTATTAGCATGTTGGTGAAGGGGAAAAGTGAGAAACCATGGAAGGAAAAAAGGAAAAATAAGTAGGCTAAAGGTCATCTTTAAGGATCTTTATTCTAGTATGTTAGAAATTGTATCGAACCTATAACATATTTATTCAGACCGACACTCAAGTCTTTTTTCATGCTATCTGGGCTTGTGACAGCCAATTTTAAAAAAAAACTATAAGTCACCTTCCAGTCTAATGGAATAATTATAGTTTCTGCACACACTGAATTTTATTCCACATTCTGCCCTCTTGCTCAGAATATATCCACCAAACAAAATGACCTTTAAAGAAAGAGCAACCTTTATCTGATTTTTCAACTTTTAAAAATACTGCAGCGTTTTAATTTTATCCGCAGGTATTTCAGAAGCTATTTGTATGCTAATTCTTCCTTCCAATTGCCTGGTAATTAATCGCCAGGTTTTCCGTCAGTAACAGAAGAGTGGTTTCATTGAGGCAGGAAAAAGAGGAGGTGGAACGCAAAGCCAGCACCAAAAAATATCTCAAGCAACTAACAGCGCTGGAATGGCGCTAACAGCAATCAGAGATACAGAGTACAAGCTTCCATGTTTCTCTCTAATTTTTTTAATCTCTAAAACAGATTCTCTTTTTCTTTAGTTAGGTTGGCTACTGTAAAGTAAACTTGTCATGGGGGTCACCAGTGACCCCATATGTGCTAAGCAGACAGAACCCTTCATAGTATTAGTGCCCATCCTGCAGCCTGGGGGATAGGGGATCTTTGGCACTTATTGTGTTGGCCCTTACAGACAGTGTAGAGGAAAATCCCAAATTTTAGGTTGTCCCCAGAAACTGAATAGAGGGGAAATCTTTCAATTGGGACACTAGTTTTGGTGACCTGGGGGACCCAAGGGATTCCCTTTATTTGCAGGGATTCCCTCTCACATTTTGTTTTGGCTATAAGACAGGATGTTAAGATAAATCTCCCCAATAAGACACAGATGGCAAAAAACGACAGGGGTTATAACACTCCCTTACTCTATCCATAACGAAAAAGTTTTGCCTTTAGTTCTACTTTAAGCTCTAATGGTGGTGTGCCCTACTGATTTATGTCAAGTGTGAGTTTAAATGACAGGTCCACTTTGAGATTGGAAATTGTGGTAGTAAGCCTCAAAGTCAGAGACAATTAGCCTTGCTGCTTGTGTTCTGCTTCTTCAAACAGCACTAGAAAGCATCCGAGATGTGAAGAAGAGCCTTGTAATTCAGTCTGTCGGAGAAATGTTTTCAGTGTCTCTAAATAATACATGTCCTCTTTATTCCACAGGCTCGCCAATGTTACTTAAAGCTTACTCTGACCTTTTCAAGAACGCGGCGGCCATCGTTCGCAGTGCTGTGTGAAAAAGTCTTCCATTTAATGCATCAACTCCAGATAATATCTATATATAAAAATCCTTTCTTGACCTTGTCGGCTTCACTTAACCAAACTG